CCTGAATCAGATGTTAGCTGCGTGTCATCAGAGTATGGACAACACCATGCTTCAGTATCCCTACTGGCCATTCCCAATGGTTTCATATACTGTAGATGTTAAATAACATTCAGGACAAAATGGTGCCCTGAGGAATTCTGTAGTTGAAGGGGCAGTGTTACCTTGCTATTTGTAACAATCTGGAGGCAAAACACATAACTAGGCTTCAGCATTTACTACTACTGCTACCAGTCTCACACCTGAGGGAACCATTACCTTTGTAAAAAAAACAAAAAACAAAGAAGCAATTAATATAGTAGTAAAATGAATCCATCTGGAAAGCATACTATTAATTCCAGAACAATTAACTGTTGATTAAAAAAAAAATTAAGGGGGTGGAAATCTAAGGAAGGAATAGCAAGCAAAATTCAGAGCAAGCCACATTCTGCTCTTACTATATTAAACATTAAGGCTGCAATCCTATACCCCCATACATGGGAGTAAGCCCCACTGAACTTAATGGGACTCACATAAATGGGATTTATTTACTTATTTTACAGATTTATAAACTGTGCCACACAAAAGCTACTAAAGTGGTGTACAATAAGACAAAAAGAGATAAAATATAAACGATACAGATTATTAAAAAGGGAAGAAACCACAAATTATTATAATTGTGCAATTCATATGCCATAAAATGACTGAGTCATACTTCAGGAAAAGCCTTCTAAAACAAAAATATCTTCAGTGGCTACTAAAATGTCAAGATACTAGGCCCCAGTCTAATTTCAGCTGGTAACTGATTGTAGAGGGCTGGAGTTGCAACACTAAAAGTTCAGTTTATAGTACAAACTAAGTGACCTCTCAGCAGTGTCCCACATGAGGATTGCAGTTGCAAGGAAGCGATATGTGGAGTGAGCCAGTCCCTTAGGTAACTTGGTCCCAAGTTGTTTAGGGACTGCATTTGGGCAGATCAATCCTGAAATGGGAATGGTGGGTGATTCTGTGGCAGAGAAACAACCACTCATTAAGCTTTCAGTGCATGCCCATGAGGTGCAAGGTAAGGCAAGGTAAGGCTTCTTTTTCCTCTTTTTTTTTTTCCTGTGGTCAAGTTTTAAAAAAACCAAAACCCTCCCATTGATCACTTTGGGCTGTATCTAACTAACCACTGAAATGAGCAGATGTAAGCCAGCCATGCCTATTAGTTTCAAGGGGTCTACTTTGAGCAGGACTAACATTGGATACAATGTAATAAATAATCTAAACCAGCTCCAGAACTGGTGTAGTTTTGCAACCAGTTTCAGGGAGTGTGATGGAAACAAGGAGACTTAGGAACCTGCAGATCCATGGCCTCCTCTGATACACCCTGTTTTGGCCGCCACCATTGCCCATGGAACAGTGATGGCAGTGAAGTTGTCCACCAGGAGACTCCCAGCAACAGACCTCTCTTCTCTGTACGTAATCCTCCCTCTCCTGCTGTAGAAGAGATCAATGGGATCTAACAGCTCCTCAGTTGATCTTCCCATGAGCTTCCTAAAGCTACAGTTTTAAACACAATTAATAGGGAGCAAACTTAATTGAGTACACAAGTGTTTATTTCTCACTAAACACTAAACATAAGATTTGTATTTCATTTCGCAAAAAATTATAAATCATTCTCTTTATTAATGACCAATATTGCAAATAAGTATATTTTAAGAGCATTTGTTGCAGTAATTTCTCAAGTACCTCCTAAAAAATCGAGACGAGAAGCTCCTACTGTGTTCCTTTGGCTTAAAATGGGAGATGGGGCTTGAGTTAATCCTTGAAAATAAATCACACTTTCTGGGTGCAGTTTCCAACTGGAAGGGCACAAACAATGCAAGAGAAAGGGGAAACAACATGATTTGAGAAGCTAACATTTAAAACAATGGGAGCACTGAGACAGACAGATATTGACATGACACATACTGCTCTTCAGGCCAAGTTAGTCTGGTGGGAGCCCCTAAGTACGTCCTGAAAATAACAATGCATTAAAATGGCACAGAATTTTTATCTGATTCTGGTTATGGCCAACAAAAAGAAGAGATGAGTAAGCAAGACTGCTTTCTTTAGAAATGTTTACTTATATCTGCAATGGTTTTTTTAAAGAGAGTTCGGTGCCCTGCTAGGTGGGCACCTCAAAGTGTGTAAGCCCAAATATCACTAGATAGATAGATAGATGATAGATAGATAGATATAGAAAATAAACATACGCGTGCACACACACGCTCCTGCCATTTATAAACCCAACACATGGTGAGCCTTTAAATGTCTGGAACAATTTCAAAACAAAACACTGCCTTACAGATGGCTTTGTGGACACAGTTATAGCAACATAACAGATCTGGCGGAAGAGAGCTTCCAGGGAGAGACTGCTCTTTATAAAGGTTAAGGCATCCAGAACTGCCACAGACATAGGCTGTAACTTTAAGAACCTGTTCTTGAACTTGCTTGTCACTCCTTCCTTTCTTTTCCCTTGTGTATCCTGTGTTTTCATATTGTGACCCTGAGGGAAAGGACTACCACAGAGGTGATTTTTGTAAGTTGTTCTAAGAGGTTTATTGGCTAAAGGGGGGCGGGGTATAAGTAAATTATAAATAAATACCAGAACCTGTAAAATGCAAATTATCAAAATGTTGAAATGGTAACCAAACTAAAGTGGCCACCGACACCACAGAACACTGGCCCTGAAAGACCTACATTGGCTCTCAGTACACTTCCGAGCAAAGTTCAAAGTGTTGATGCTGACCTTTAAAGCCCTAAATGGCCTCGGCCCAGTATACCTGAAGGAGCGTCTCCACCCCCATCGTTCAGCCTGGACACTGAGGTCCAGCGCTGCCAGTTCCCTCACTGCGCGAAATAAGGTTACAGGGAACCAGGGAGAGGGACTTCTCGGTAGTGGCACCCACCCTGTGGAATGCTCTCCCATCAGATGTCAAGGAAATAAACAACTATCTGACTTTTAGAAGACACCTGAAAGCAGCCCTGTTTCAGGGAAGTTTTTAATGTTTGATGGTTTATCATGTTTTTAATATTCTGTTGGGAGCCACCCAGAATGGCTGGTGGAAACCCAGCCAGATCGGTGGGGTATAAATAACAAATTATTATTATTATTAAAGTTCAGAATAGAAAATTATTTAATATCAAATACTAACCAATTGTCCACATTGTAATCACTCTAATTCAGTGGTGTCCAAACTTTTTTCAAAGAGGGCCAGATTTGATGAAGTGAAGGGCCGTGAGGGCTGACCAAAGGGCCAACCCAAGTTGTTATCCTTTTTTTACAGTTAAAGTTGTTGAGCTTTTTTAAGGATTTTACCCCAGGAAATAAACTGTCACAGGGGCTGAATTGAACCAACCAGTGGGCCAGATTAAGCCCCCAAAACGGACTTCGGATATGCCTGCTCTGATTGAAATTCCTGAAAAACCTTTTATCATCATTCTTTAATGAGGGCTTTGTGACTTGTTGCTACAATTTAGCTTTCATTAGTGTAACAGATCCTTCATAAATTTTTCAGAGGTGAAAATGAGCATTTACCAAAAAAAAGCTGCTGGGCCTAATTTGACAATAAAATTGGATGATGTTTTGTGATGTCTGACAAACATTTGAGTATTAGATTAGAAAATGCAGGGGGGAAATCACTGAAAGAGGTACTGGCTATATACCACAGCCAAGCCTATTCTTATAAGAGAGAAATATATTAAGTCATCCTTGAGAGTCCATGAGAAACTGTACATTAAATACCCCCTATTCCTTGATATCTCATTTTAAAAATAGGGGTTAATCAAAATGATTTCCATCATCACCAGGAGAGGACTGCACAGAAAAACAACAAAAGATCAAAGTTAACAGCAAAGGGAGTTTCAAAATCCCCAACTGGGTAAAATCTTTATTATAAAACCTATACAGAGCCTGCTGAATCAGGCCAATGGCAAATCTAGTCCAGCATCCTGTTCTCACAGTGGCCAACTAGATGCCTGTGGGAAACCTGCAAGCAGGACCTGAGCACAAGAGCATTCTCCTCTCCTGCAATTTCTGGCAGCTGGTATTCAGAAGCATTACTGGCTCTGACCATGGAGGCAGAGCATAGCCATCATGGCTAGTGGCCATTGATATACCCTTCTCTTCCATGAATTTGTCTCATCCTCTTTTAGTCATCTAAAGGCCATCAGTGCCTCCTGGGGGAGTGAGTTCCATAGCTTAACCATGTACTGTGTGAAGAGGAATTTTCTTTTATCCGTCCTGAATCATCCAACATTTGGCTTCATTGGATGTATATGAGTTCTAGTGTTATGAGACAAGGAGATGAACCTTGAGGACCCAGTGATAGAGGCTTTGCTACTTAAAATAGGGTATTCCTCTGGTGACAATATTCATCATCAAATATATCCAGCCACCATTCCATCAAGGTGTCCCCACCGACTTCACTCATGCTCCTGAGGTCCTAATGTGGAATGTGAACATGAAGGCTGCAGTCCTCTGCACACTTACATGGGAGTAAACTTCATTGACCTCTGTTGTATTTTTCCCCACACATGATCAGGTTTCAAGAAGGTCTGACATATTAAATCTCTCCCCTTTCCTCTAGACTACTAGAGTGTTTAATCACCTTGAATGTCAAGGGCATCTAGCTATGAAAACAGGCTATTCTGTCACAACTCTCCCGCTGCCTCCCGCCCCCCATCCCCAGTTGGGCTTTTGAAAATTAAAGAGGAGGGATGAAAAGCCTTTCCAAGGTACTATCCCCCAAAATTTCCTGTCATCTTTTTACCTTGAGCTTGCTCTGACAGGCTGTGAAAAAGCAAAGAAGCAAGTGTCGGCGCCAGCATCCCTGTCACACCAATGGCTGTGAAAATCTAGCCCGGCCAGTGCTGTGAGTTGTGCTGCTTGGCTCATCATAATAGAATCTCTTGTCCAATCAACATCCTGGAATCGTCTTCCTCACCGCCCCCCCAACCACCACCACCCCAACAGAGGCATCAGATTGTTTCTTACTCACCATGTCATAAACATTCAAAATCACTGGTTCATTTGCCATTGTGGATTGCAGCGAAGGCTGGATTTTAAGCCTTTAAATCCCTGCCAGATGTGGCAGTGCCCAAAGGGATCTTTCTTTCACTCTTAGCTGCACAGGGAAGAAATGCTTGTGTGAAGAATAGTCAGTTGTGATGGGGATGTCCAAGAAGGGCTTCCCCCGCCCTTTGATGCCAATTTTTTTTGGTGAAGATGCTCCCCTTTCACCTCCGAACAGAACATTCAGTCTTTTGCTTGCTTTCGTCTTTTAATACTGCAGCTGATTGATGTGGCAGCGTTTGTACAGCATGCTCAAGCCAGACCCCGTCCTGCCTCTCTCCTAACTGCAAATCCCAAACAGCACCAAAGGGCTGGATTGTTTGCGTTGTGGATGAACCCTTGTCCTAAATCTCTCAGAATGGGGGGGACCACAGAAGGGAGACGAGAGGATTAAAGGCTGGGTGGGGGGAAGAATCCGGAGCAGACTTTCAGCCAAAGTATAAATATTTATAATGAAGTTCAAAGTGTGGAGTGACATTGGGAGCGGGGAGGTGCTCTAGTAAAGAGTAAAAAAATAATAATAAAACACCTTAAAGTGAAGCTTAGCACCAGGTTTCTAGACTAGAACAGCTCTCTGACAAGCATTGCACACAAAATAAGAGCTCATCTATGCAACACAGAGAGCCTTTAAATTCAGCTAGGGAGAAAGCAGTAACACAACACTGCTTCCTAGGGGTCTCTTCTCTGTTCCCAAAGTTTCGGCACCTGCGGGAGCTCTCCAGGGTCCTGAGAGTTACGTCTTAACACCTTGGCTCTTCAAGGGATGTGTAGCAAACAAGCCATCTCATAATATTTCTTTGTAAAAAGCAAGAAAAGGCTGGGATAACTCTTTGAGGCTCTGGTGGTGGGGACGACCCATACTCAGTAGGGGGATGAGTTTTCTTAAAGGGAAGCTGGACGTGAGCAAAAGCATTTAGTTCAGCCTCTGGAGCGGTTCGTCGGAGGAGCTGTCCAGAGTGCTGAAGTCCCTCGCGCCGTCCATTCCACGGAGCCGCACTCTGGAGACCCGTTGACGAGAATCGCGTGCAAAGAGCTCTCCAGATGCTGACGAGAGGACAGCAGTGACCCGGAAAATCCTGAGCGCAAAGACTCTGCTCTTCTCAGCACTTTGCACTGGAGGCTCAGACCCCTGATTTCTGCGCCAGCTCGCCTCAACAGAAACATCCCTTGGTGGCTGGAAAGAGCAGAAGAGTTCCACTCCATCTTCTCCGAAGATGATGCATCTCCGAAGGGAGACGATTCGACAACCAGGAGCTGGCGAAGGAGGTCAGTCACAGCAACTGAGACTTCTCGCAGAGGGAGATGGGGAGGGGGAGGGAGGGTGTTGTGGACTTTCTCCTATCCCGTCGCTAGTTAGGGCTGCGGGGTGTAGCGGGACTGTGCATCCTTGCCGGAGACTCGCAAATCCCGTTCAAATTGGACCTGGAGGCCAGAGTAAAGTATGAATCCATTGCGGTATATTTCTTCCCATGATCGCTCCTCCCTCCCCTTCCCAAAAAAACATAGTGGGATGTGCAATCAAGAGATAGGGAAGGGAAGGGGGGGGTAAGGAAAGAGGGTGGTCTTTCTGTGTCCGGTGAATTTCAGGGAGGGGAGTAAGCTGACCTGAAAGCTGGGGAAGCGCAGATCCTGCTTGGAGTAGCCAAAAAAGGGAGCTGGGATTACCTCATCTGAGTTGGAGGCGTAGCTGAGGCTGGCTGCCAGCTTGCAGCCAACCACATCTGAATGAAAATTGCAGAGAGCCTGTTACATCAGCATAGCCCAGCATTCCCTGGTCTTTCGCAGGCAACAGCTGAATGCTTTCCCCCAGCTGCATGCGGACCATTCAACAGGAGAGAGAGAGATAGAGAGAGAGAGAGAGAGAGAGAGAGAGAGAGACTTCCTACCTTCCATTTGAGGAATGGCAAGATCCAGCAGGCATATTGATGCTGAGGATAAAAGGTCCGGCTCACCTGCCTAAGCCCCCCCCCCCCCGCCCTTCTCTGTTCTGAACGAGGGGAGACCTATTTTATTCTTCTGCAGTTTTTTCTACAGAGAGGGCACATTTCAGTGGATTTATCAGGATGATGGAGATAATTTTATGCACCACTACTTAAAAAAAAAAGGAGGGGTGTTCTGAATTAGAATACAGGACTGACAGGGACTCATTAATCCAAATGAATGCTTAGAATGTATAAGATGCAAGGACGTGCTTCATGGGATGTACGAGGAGGTCTCTCTCTCTCTCTCTCTCTCTGTGTGTGTGTGTGTGTGTGTGTTTGTGTTTGTGTACAGCCTACATCCCATCTGTTGGGTTACTCATTAAATCCAAGGATGCAATCCTGCTCCTGCTGAGCTCAATGGCAAAACTCCCTAGCTTACAATGGAGATGGCTTGGATCCCAAACTCCTAGTGTTGTGATTGATTGATTGATTGATTGATTGTAATACTCTATGTAACACCATACTCTCTTGGACTGAATAATTTTGACCTAACATTTTTTTGTTTCTGCTCCCAGCCCCTTTTCCTTCTGCAGCAAAAGTTGTTTTTGTGAAATATCGTCTTCAGGGTGACAGCACAGGATCTTTGAGTGCCATCCAAGAGTGAAATACGACTGGAGAACCTGGGAAATGTGGATTCTACAGCCATCCATCCTGCCCCCTTGAGATTGCAGAGGAACAGCTCAGTCTAACCATGGCAAGCCACTCAAGTCCACCCAGCCACTTTCTTTGATGCTCTGTCAGGTTAATGCAGGCTGCAATAGGCAGCACTGGTTTGAATTAATGGGAATAATAAAGGCTGGCGCAGGCTATGTGCATTGGAATTCTCACTGGAGCAGACTTTCGTCTGAGGTTTGGTGGGAGAGGCTGAAGAGGGGTGAATATCACTCCCTCACCCCCAGCCCTCACTTCAAATCTGGAAGCTGGGAAAAATCTCAGGCAGAGTCAGCAAGCTTCTGAATGCCAGTTGCAGGAAAGCACTGGAGGGCAGAGTACAGTCATACCTCGGGTTACAGACGCTTCAGGTTGCACATTTTTGGGTTGCGCACTGTGCCGAACCCAGAAGTACTGGAACGGGTTACTTCCGGGTTTTGGTGCTCGTGCATGCGCAGAAGCGCCGAATCGCGACCCGTGTGTGCGCAGATGCGGCGCTGCAGGTTGCGAACGTGCCTCCTGTACGGATCACGTTCGCAACCTGAGCGTCCACTGTACTCTTGTGCTTGAATCCTGCTTGCTAGTTTCTCACAGGCATCTGGTTGGCTACTGTGAGAACAGGATACTGGACTAGATGTGCTATTGTCCTGATATAGCAGGCTCTTCTTATGTTCTTATAGAAGCTGGATAAAAATCTCAGTTGGGCAGGGAAGACATAAGAAAGTGCCTTACACCAAGTCAGACCATTGATCTAGCACAGTCCTATCAACACAAGCTGGCAGCTGTCCGGGTTTTCAGACAGGGAACATTACCACTCCTACCTGGAAATGTCAGGGAAGTGGTGCTACTACACTAGCTTCCCAGGCAATGGGTTGCTGTTACTTACTGGGAGAGAGCTGGGGTGGTGGTGAAGAGGAAGCTGGTGCAGTGCAAATGCACCAGCAGAGCCGCCAATCTGGTGCTTCTGCTAATGTATTTCCACTGCACTGAACTCCTCAACACCTCTATAGCAACCCACTGTTGGGAGGCTGCCCCACCCAGTGATCTGCTTCTGTTTTCACCATCCCTAACCATTCACCATGCTCTCTGGGGCTAATGAAACTTATATTCTAATGATCTCTGGAGGGCATCGGGTTGGGCTCTGATTTGGTTGTAATCTAATGGCAGTGTACTGCCCTTGAAGTGTGCTTCAAGGACTTTGAATTGAAAGCCTTGATTTCAAGTTGCATCTCAGTATCTATCTATTTATTTGTTGCATAAAACTCTGTGAATAAAATGTCAACAAAAACACATCCATTAAACAACAAAACATTAAAACAAGATAAATAAATTGATGCCTAAAACTGCCACAATCAAAATACGAAAGCTATCAGTTAAATGTCAAGTAGAAGAGAATTTTTAAAATAAAGCTATCAAGGAGGGGGCCAAAGGTGGTACCCATGGGAGGAAGTTCCAGATATGTGAGGCCATCACTGAAAAGGCCTTGCCCCTGCCAACAGCTTGTCCTTAACAGAGGACTAGAGAGCTCAGCTTGTGAGGTTGATCTCACAAGTGGTGAATTCACTAAGCACCAATGAACAAGTCATTATCTCTCCATCTGCAAAATGAGAAGAACAGGAAACAAAAGTGAACAGGTGGAAATGGTCATACTTTTTGGAAGGTTCAATGAATATTTTGCCACTGCCATGGCCACCATGATCCAAGCTCCCATTTTGAACCAGAATTTATTATTTTGAGCCAATCTATCCAGTCTAATAACACCACACTCTATTAGGAGAAACGGAGAATTTAAACTTATGCTGAAATGTTAACTAGACTGTTCATTATCTAACTACTGGAGGGTGTTTTTTTAGAGTTACAATGAAGAACTAAATGGTGCATGAAACTGTAACTGTCAGTTCAATCCTATACATGTTGCCTCTGCAGTAAGCCTAACTGAGTTCAAATGGACTTACTCCCAGGTAAAAGTGTATAGGATTGCAGCCAATGCCTGTCTTGTCAAGGAAGGGTGGTATTTTTATTACAATCTTTATCAGGGACACTGTAAAACAAAGCAACACTATGTTTTATATGTGGTCTGTTAATATGTGATTTTTTAAATAGAATTATTGCTGACATTCAGGTAACTCTAACTTAACTTTGTCTTAATGAAGTGGGCTTTGTCTGCATATCAGAACACAAACAGTGAAGCTCCTGGTTAAATTTTGTAAAGTGAGTGTTTGAAGTAGGTTTTGACAGTAATATGAACTTAGAGTATATAACCTCTAATAGCTTCCAAGAAACCATTACTGTTAATTAACAGATTGCATGCTGTGTGCAATGCTGGCAGTTGCTTCCTTTTTTCAGTATTATGAAGATTTTAGATACTTACCCCCTCCTTTAGCACCCATTAAGCTATTTGCATGCTCTGTTGTTTTATTTGTGAACTTTATATACCACCCTTCCTTGACAAGACAGTTTCCTACATAGCAACATAATAATAAACAATATAATGTACCTACATCATAGCCATAAAACAGAAATAATATAATTATAACACGTCTTTCTGAAATTAGCCAGGCTTCATCCTCTCAGAAAGAGTAACCCTGCCTAGAATTTGCATTAAATTCTGGCCCAAATTTAAATATTAATGAATTGCTTTAATAACAACAACAACAATAAAAGACACAATGAAAGGTTCTCTGCACAAAACGCTCTAGATGGATCTACCTGAAATTTG